GAAATAAAGTTGTCTCACTCTGCACCCCAGACTGAGTCCGTTTCTTCACAAGGTGCAACAAATTTTAGGAAATTACTGTTATTGCAGTGTTTTTTTTTTTTTTTAAAGAAAGGATTTTCAGTGCATCTGTGGGAAGAGGACACCAAACTACAATACAATACTGAAGACAAGTGAACATAACATTTTGCTCCAATATACTGAAAAGCAACTTCATACATAAGCTCCATTTATGTAGACACACTGACTTATTTGAGCACTATTCTCTTTTTAAAAGTTAATCATCAACATTCAATTCTGGACAAAAGAACATTAAGCCTCTAGGACAGTTTCAGTATTAAGAAAAAAAAAAAAAACTACCTCTATTTTACAAACATCAAAACACTCACTTTATGCTTAGAGTTCACTGCAAGTGACCCTCCCTCTGAATTCTAAGACGTTCTTTTTCCACTTGCAAGCGTTCCTTCTCAATCTGCAGCTTCTCTGACTCAAACTTTAAGAACTGCAACCTTTCTTTCTCCAACTGCAATCGTTCTTTCTCCAGCTTTAGCTTTTCAGTTTCTAGATCCAGAGGCTGCATGATGGGTTTCTCTGTCTGAGCAAGGTCATTTTCTAGGGCAGGTTTTTCAGCACGCAGAGTTGCTAGCCTCAGTTTCTCTCGCTCAATCTGAAGTCGCTCCTTCTCCAGTTGAAGTCTCTCATGCTCCAAGTCGACGTGCCGTAGCCGTTCTTTTTCTATTTGCAGGCGCTCCTTTTCCACCTGCAGCCTTTCAGCTTCAATGTCTAGTCGCTGTTTCTCCAGCTCTACCTTCTGCTTCTCCAGATTTATAAGCAAGTGAGAATCTTCGTAGACTAGCCTAGCTTGAGCAGAGCTTAGATTTCCAAACTCTTCAATGTGAGTGAAATCTGGGAGGTCATTTTCCTTTTTTGAATCTGGCAAAACTGATGACAAAATTTCTTCTTCTTCCTGAATAGGAAACTGCAGACAAGAATGCAATATGCAATAACTGTCTCTATTCCATAATAAATCTATTAAAACCAACCTCAATGAAAATAGCAGGTATCTGATTTTTAAATCATCCTAAAAATCAACCAGAATTGTTTTCTTACACTTTGTGGACTAACTATGCTAGATCCAAAGACTTGTTTTATGCTATTTTAGAGGCAGAGAAATATATCCAATTTACAACTTAATATTCACTAACCAAAAATCTAAAACCAATTATTCAGTGGACATGTAAGGAAAGCATAGGAGAGAAAACAGTTTCCTTTGTCTAATACTTTTATCTTTAAACAAAACGTGGATATTATAGATTATACAGAGCCACTGAAAGAAAAAAGGATTTAAAAAGCATGCATTGTTCTAATTTTTCTATATGGTTCCATGACAGTTCTGTGAACTACCAAGAATTTGTTGTGACCAAGCATTTCTCAAAGCAGCCACATCTGTAAGCTATTTGGTTACGTAAACTGACCTAGCCTTCAGGAAAATGAGAATTCCATTTCTAAAAACATTTAACTTTGTTCTGTATTTGAATTACCTGATTTACTTTGAATGCTCCTGTCAGACTTGCATTAATGGATACATTAACAAGACTTGCTAAACCAATTTTGTATCAACATGTTCTTTTCAAATCCATGTATAACACAGGCAACCTACAGACTAGTACCATTTTTCTTGCCCAACTGTAAAAATTCACACAGTGTGGTACAAAGGAAAAAAAACAGAGGAAGTTGCAGGTTCAGAGAATTTTAAGACAGTGAGAATCCCGTCAGTCCTTCAGTATTAGAGGATGGACACATCTTTTGAGCAGTGGTCACACAGCAGTCTCACTATTTATGAGAAAGGTGCATTTCTCTCCTCCATTCATCCATACAGCCTGAGTATTAAAATAACCACTGTCCTTCAGTACATGTGCGTATGTTCATCCTAGTAACTGCACAGAATTGGAAAATATCTGTGCAAATACATATTCAGTGTTGTGTGGTATTAATTTAATAATCAGCATCCAAGACTGTGCACATAACAGCAAGCTGCTGGACCTGAATGTCATCTGATGTGTATTTTTTCACTGATTCTTTAATTCAGGTAAAGTCAGACAAAACCAGAAACAGGCAATATTTTCTAATCACTTACTTCAAAATTCTGTGGATCCTCTTCTACTTTGACTTCTGTTAAAGGTCCACCTGCTTCTCTCAAGTCAGTGACATTTTGCCATTCAAAACTACTTTCATTTGCAAATCCCATTTTCTCATCCATATCTTCATTGAGAGAATCATCTAAATCAGATGAAGGAAAGTGAAACCCAGCACCTACTACTTTGATGTTTGCGTTCAGACGTTTTCTCCTCATGAGTGCTCTCCAATCAAGGTACCGTCTTTTCACTTCTGTCCCTGTTCTTTGCTCTCCTTCCCCTACAGCATTCACACATTCTGCTATTTCCTCCCAAGCTTTTCGTTTCATCTCATTAATTGTTGTATTAAGTTGCTTGGAAAAGAGTACTTCTTTCCTTTTTCTGATTTCCTTAAGGAGAGTTTGCGTTTCCTGAACACTAAAATTGCTTTTCCTTTTTCTTTTTAATTGTTTCATTTTTTCCAGTTTTAAGCTAGTAATTTTACCACAACAGAATTAAAAAAAGTTTTGACACTAATCAGTTAATTGCTTTTAAAAGTAGTTCACTCAGTTCTTGTGAAGTAAATTTTCTCTTCACTTGGTAGTATTTTCTATTTGTCAGACTTCCTAAGAAAAAAAGAGCAAACAATATAAATCTTAAAGATTAGCAGTGAATATTTTCATTTAATGAACTTGAATCCTAAGTCAATCAGTTAAAGAATGCATATTCTCAATTGATCATTTATCCAATAGACGAAAACAATTTTGTTGAATTTGGAATAAAGAAGTTGTAGATGAGCTCCTCTAATCTCATGTGAATTATAAATATATTAATATATCCATATCACAAACCATTAAGGTTGAGTTGATATTTCCATAATAAAAATATGGTGTTTTCCTTTGTCTCTTACAGTTTTGCTAATTGAGATTTGCTTAAGGCTGAAGTTTGACATACACTTCTCAGTTTGAATGTTAAATTATTTTGAAAAGAAGCTGGAGTTATGACATTAGTTCAGAAACAAAACGTTTAAGCAGTTAGAGTCTTAGACACCTTTTAAAGCTATTTCTCTTTAAGTTGATATGAAAGGTCTAAGTTTTAGATGCACTTCTGACTTCCTTTAATCACAAAAGGAAAACTGGAACAATTCTGCTGAATGACAGAAAACAAACAGAAGTGCATATTCAAACAATGTCACACATCAAAGGTGTATTAGTAGGAAGTAGATTTAGGAATAAGTCATTCCAAGTCAATGTTAAAGGCCTCCTTCATCCATCTCACTGCACAACAACCTCAACCCAAGTGAGAGGCGATCACATCTTGAAAGCCAAGTCAGTCCTCTGCCTTTCACAGTAGCTTATCCTGTGCCTGATCCCAAAGGGAAAGCTAAACTCCATAATACACGTGACAGCCTGGGAACAACTCTAGAAACAGTGGGAAGGCTGAGTGGAGATACATGGGAATATTAATAGAGTGATTAATCTATCATGTTCAGCAACGGGGGAAAAAAAAAAAAAAAAAAGAGACATGAAGTGTTCTTAGTCACATTCTTAGTAGAAGTCCCCCTTTGCATTTGTTTTGAACCTGCATTTGAAACACTTGTTACCCACAATTATTAGAGGAAAAAAGACTTTAAACCAACATTTCACTATTAATACTAAACTGTTATGACTCCTCATTTAATCATTAAATATCACATATTGCTGTTTTTTCTTTTTTTCTATTATTTTCCAAAGATTAGTTAAAACTTACGCATCAGCATATTACACAAGTCACACATTTTGGTGATAATACCCATGCTACGTTAGACACTGGCTTCCTTGCAAAGTTTTCCATATCAAATAACATCCTCTTACAATCCTCTAAGGAGAATGGCATCAAATATTTTATAAAAATGCTGCCTTTAAAACACTGTTTTCCCATTTTCCTGGTTAAAATGTTGGGCCCTACTGTAAATTCATTTACTTGCTATGCTTGCTACCTAACGAATATGCAAAAACCAAGCAAGAAACCAAGAAACAGAACATAAACATGTATCTACACAGACTACAGTACATTCCACCATGCAGTTTTTCAACAATTTTGATTCTTCTGATTTAAGTTGGAAAAAATATGTGACTGTTTCAGATGTACTGAAACTTCTTGTCTTTCTCAAAGCAAAATACCAATCTACTTTAAGATTTTTTAAAAAACATCATCAGCTACCATTTGTTTTTAAACGGACACTTAGATTGGCATGACCAATAAAAAAATAGTTTAAAAAGTCAGATTTATATCCACAATATAGTATTTTATCTGCTGGTGTTAGATAAAGTTCTTCTGAGAGCTTTTATCTGATGTTTAAGCTTCTGCCTTAACCTGCATTATTATAAGCTTACCTTAAAAAAAATACTAGGCAGCAAAATTCCTATCTCAATTTGAAAAAAAAGTACTTTTTTAGTCTTTTCTAATCTAATGATTTTCTTCTGTTATAGCAATTGAATTTCGTGACCTATCTACCAAAGTAACTTGAACTTTTTAAAGGTTGGTTAACTTCTAAAAAGTCATCTAGTAGCTTAATCTTCCAGTAATGTTACCAGTGCAGTAACTGGAGGTAAAGAATCAAGGAAGCATCCAGAGTAGCTGCCTTATTAACAGTGACTGACACATTTAACCTACAAACAGAATCACCTTTATGCTGATTAAAAACCATTTAAGTCACCAGAGCTGGAGAAATACACATGCTTGGAGGTACAGTCAAATGCTACCAGATTATTGGGTTCATGTTAAGTTCAAAATGCTCGCATTGAGTTTATATAGCTATGTGGTGTAACAGTTCTTCCAATACATAAAACGTTGGCATCCATGTGATTATTCATCAGCGACCTGGAGGAAGGGATGGAGCGCACGCTCAGCACATTGGTTGGTGATGCAGAGCTGGGAGGAGTGGTCGATACCCTGTAGGGCTGGGCTGCTGTTCAGAGAGACCCAGACAGCCTGGAAGGACGGGCAAAATACAAGTCCAGGACAACCCAGGTGTGACCTGCTGAGATCAGCTCTGTAGAGAAGGACCCAGGTGTCCTAGTGGACAACCAAGAGGCCTTTGTGGCCAAGGAGGCCAATGGCACCCAGGGGGAGCATTAATACAAGTCCAGGACAACCCAGGTGTGACCTGCTGAGATCAGCTCTGTAGAGAAGGACCCGGGTGTCCTGCTGGACAACCAAGAGGCCTTTGTGGCCAAGGAGGCCAATGGCACCCAGGGGGAGCCTTAGCAAGAGTGCTGCCAGCAGGCCAAAAAAAGGGATCCTGCCCCTCTACTGAGCCCTGGTCAGGACAAACCTGGGGAGCTGTCACCAGTGCCAGGCTCGCCACTACAAGAAGGATGTGGAGCTACTGGAGAGAGTCCAGCGCAGGGTTATGAAGATAGTATTGGAGCATCTGTCCTATGAGGAGAGGCTGAAAGACTTCAGCCTGTTCAGCCTAAAGAAGAGAAGGCTGAGATGGGATCTTATCAGTGTGTACAAATACCTTAAGGGAGAGCGTTAAGAGAATAGGGCCAGGCTATTTTCACTGGTGGCCAGCGACAGGACAAAAGCCAACAGCCACAAACTGAAGCACAGGAACTTCCATCTAAATTTGAGGAAAAAAAAACTTTTGACTGTGAGGGCACTGGAGCTGGCTGCCCAGAGAGGTTGTGGAGCTACACATTAGACTCAGCACTCACAGACCAGAGCCGGTGTGCAGCCAGGAAGGTCCTCACTTCTGTACTAAGGAAACATTTATGCTGAAATAAGGTAAGTATTGCAAAAGTGTATGGAACACTCCCAAAACACATGAAACATAGCGAATAGAGTATTTCATGGCAGATTCTCCCCCCCCCCCCCGCCATGGCTCCTGTCTCCTTCACTCACAACACACCATCATGTGAGCACCAGCTGGAAGGGACCATTAAAAATAATAAGTAAAAATAAAATCTATTGATAGTAAGAACATTCATCGGGGCGGAGGCAGAATTGCTTAGTATTAATGCGGGTTACCCTTCAGAAATCCCGACTTTGTTACTTCTACCACGGCTTCGCAGAGGCTATGGCCGAGGAACCGAGCTCCATGCGAGGCTTTTCCAGAGCAGCTCCCGAGCTCGGGGCTTTCACACACTGCCCGCGGGCGGAGAAGAGAGACCGGGGCCGCCAGCGGGGCCAGGCCGCGCTCGGAGCCCACGGCGCGGCCCAGCGCGGAGCCGAACCCGGCGCCGCCGCCTCGTGCCGCTCCACTCGGCCC